GAAAAGAAAGATTATATTCATTGCCATCTCTCGATATATAAGATATTCTTGCTTGCCTTGTAGTCAGGTAGGTAGGTTTCAGGTTCTCACACAGCACCTGTTGCCGGCTAATATTCTTTGCTGGCGATCCAAGGAAAGGAAAGACATCATCTCAAGTGCCCAAGTTAAGTATCCATCTCATTGCAAATGAGTATACTTAAGATGCCAATGCAAATTTGCAGCTGCGCTAACTATATATACACACGTACCTGACAAATGGTGCGTGTGTTATCAATCAAAAATCAATATACCACACACACATCAGTTGCATGCAAACAGAGCCAGAGAACAAAATGCGACCTTCCGAGTCAGCCCCTGAGTTGCTGATGATGGCTGCTCGGGAGGGCGATTCTGCACGATTGCGTGATCTTCTGGGCAACCACGATGCAACTGCGACTGCAGTTCAGCTCGTTGTGCCCATGCCTGAAGTCATCATCAACATTGAGGAAAACTCCCTCGCCATGAGCAGGGTGGACTCAATTCTCCATGTGGTTGCAGCTTCTGGAGACACTTCTGAGTTTCTGGAGAGCGCAAGTCTGATCCACAGCAAGGCCAACCACCTCCTAGGCACCGGCAATAACAAGGGGGACACGCCCTTGCATTGCGCAGCCGGAGCTGGGAGGATCAAAATGGTGTCTAACCTCATCCATCTGGCTATGGCGGATGGGGGTGGTGACGCGAGAGTGAAGGCAGTGCTGAGGAAGCAGAACAACAAAGGCGAGACAGCCCTCCATGAGGTCCTTCGCTTGTCCGATAAGAAGATGATCAGGGGAATGGTTGAGACGCTAATGGAGGTCGATGCAGAATTGGCTCGCCTCCCGATTGCTAATGGCACCTGGCCATTGTACCTGGCTGTCTCGCTAGGACACAATGATATTGCGGAGCTGCTGTATTCTAAGGACAAGGCGTTGTCCTACTCTGGACCAGATGGACAAAACGTCTTGCACGTTGCAGTTCTCAGGAGCCAAGGTTTGTATTATTGTTGTACGATTTTCGAGGAGTATTTCTGTTCCGTCCCATCATATTTTATGCATTTTTTGGTTCCCAACTAGCACAGTGGCCCCTGCTAATGGGTGGGCAGCATCTTCAGTTTATGCAATTATTGTTTAAAACCTAAACAATCTCGTTTGCTATAATACTGGAAAGTTCATTTATTATGCAATGGGCTTTAAGGTTTCAATGAAAATCGTTGGTAGCGTGTTGTGTGTGTTATGATTGTCGTGATAAAAGTCATAAGTTATAACAAACAAATAATGAGTATGAAAACTTTGGAATCTCTTACATTTATTTGTTTTAGTTTGGGAAATCTTTTATTTCAATTGATTTTGTAAGCATATATTTGATTAGATAGAAATAACGAAATTTAATATAAATTAGTGGGTTGGTGAACGAAATATTTTGAATCTTCTTGCCCTTTCTAAACAAGTAATGTTCCTCCCGTCTATCATCTCGGTCTATCTCCATTTCATCCACGTTGTGTTTCCAATAGGCTATGGCTTGACACGGCCAAACATGTTTGCCGATGTGCAAGTTTTACTCGAGATTTAAAGAAAGTTGGGAACCAGGGCTGGATGTCTTTAATGCTAAATATCAATAATTATTGCATATTTGGTGTATCTAGTAGCTAGAAGCATTACAACAAGCATATCACAATTACCTCCAATCTCGTGATGACATATAGGATAATTTATTTATAACATTTCAAATAATTATAGAATTATAATCAACATTGATTGTAAGTTGATGTATTATTTCACAATGATTCTAGTTTTATCTGTGTAGATATACACACTATAGAAAATGTCTTTGTACCCATTTATATAAGTTATGAATATATTGTATTTTATAAAAAAAATCATATTCTAACAGTTGATGATATGTAATATATGGTCTTTCAATCATTCTCAACTTTGTATTTTGGATTCCATCTAGTTCACAAATAAGTGATATTTGTGACATAGCTTCAACCAGTCCTGTAGAACTCTGAGCACCAATATCATGTAAATCATTTGGACTAGAAACCTAGAAATCACATGAATAGTTTTCTCTTGAAACACATTATTTACAAAATATTATAATTGTCATAGGTATCAAGCATATATTACAATAAATTTTAGTGGTTGATCCTGAAGACCGTGTCAATATCCAAGCGTTGCTTCATTGTGATATGGAGGGAATAAAAAAATGATGTATCAGTTTTTTCTCCAATAAAGGGTGTTTTTATTAACTCATAATGAAGTATCAAGAGGATACAAAGCATAATGATTATACACCCAGCCTCTGCATAACTAGGAAACAAACAGCCAACGCAAGCTCACACACATTGTAGAAATAAAACACCTACAACATTAAAGTCATATAAGACGGAAACTATGCGTACAGCAGGGAGGATGGAGGCCCATTCGTAGACTATGCCGCCACCCATATGGGGGAAAACCTCCCAGGCTACCCACTCCAACCACGTATATAGACGTAAACAATGATCGGTACTCGATTCAATGTAGCATAGACCACGTACAGAGCGAATCTGTAGAACGGTACATAACATGCAAAGAGGAGATGAAAGTTTTTTCATGAAAAATCATATCATTTATACATAGCCAAAGCAGACATAATATGGAAAATTCTCCCACCCTTATTAGTATATAAAACTTGTTAGGTATGCCATCGAGCCGATATATATATTGGCAACACTTTGGGCGGTTAAAAATTGGATGCTACATGAATGGCTGAACAAGCAGAACGTGCAAAATTGCGCCAAAAAAGATGTGTTTAATTATATCGCCATGATGACAAAAATGACACTTCTTGCTTCCCTGGCAATTGTGTTGTGCGAGGTTGTCCTTTATCA